GAGAGACGAGAAACGAGAAACGAGAAACGAGAAACGAGAAACGAGAAACGAGAAACGAGAAACGAGAAACGAGAAACGAGAAACGAGAAACGAGAAACGAGAAACGAGAAACGAGAAACGAGAAACGAGAAACGAGAAACGAGAAACGAGAAACGAGAAACGAGAAACGAGAAACGAGAAACGAGAGACGAGAGACGAGAATCTCTCGTCTCGCGGCATCACTAATTAGAAGATTTGTGTAGAGGGAGAATGTAATATTTATACTGACTACCGAGCTTAAAGAGACCTCATAGATCCAGGAAGATTAACAATGGACCGGCCACCTACTTTCACCATCATACATAGATACAGAAATAATTAGTGACGAAGAGCGAGATTTTTAGGAATTACTTTCACAAACAAGTGGATCGGTCAAATGACTAGTTGTAATTTTGTATTTTTATTATATTTGAGTTTTTAAGATGGTTATCTTAGGAAAAGCAAAATATTGCTATGCAGGTATTTGGTAGCCAGTTCCGTTGCAGTTTCTTATAAAGTCCTTTTTGGCGCTTGGGATTTTACAGCCATCTTGGGTCGCATCTCTCAAAATGTATGCCTGTGGCATGCATGTCGATTCTAGCTTTTGCTTTATCGCTATTGATTTTCAAAAGTTATCGAGCTAATCCGTAGATCTTTGTCCTGCCATTGCATACATCACATTTTCTACACTAATCCTCTATGTCCCGTCGGCAGTTCATCCAATAAAATATTTCTCGAACTTATGCTAGAATGACCTCCTGGACACCTGCCATTGAAGCTCCTCCTACAGACCTCTGACATATGATTTCGGCAGTATCAATTAGCGGACTATATGTACTCCACCAGTATCCTTTAACAGTTTCACTGTATTTGGCTATCTCTTGACCAGTAGGTGTCACTTTATTTTTGAGCCATTCTCGAACAACCTTCAAGTTATTGTCTTTCCTCTGACCCTGTGTCAGGCTTTCAATGGTGATTTCTTCTTCGTCGCTCTCTGGCTTGATAGTGGTTGCCCAAAGAGTAACTTCATTAACCGGTTCCTCTCGTTCTTAGAGCCTTTTACTGTACCGGCATTGTCGTCCTGGTTATTGCTAGCAAGCCGGCTAGGTGTGGGTGATCGGCTCCTCCGGGACGCATATCTGCTGTAATTATTGCTTTTAGGACTTTGTGATAGGCTTCGAGAGATTAATCTATTTGATTTTCGGGCTTCATTTTCTAATTCTCGATTTATAGAACGAGACCTGCTTCTACAGGTTTTTTGAAGGTGTCCTATTCTTCCGCAATTGAAGAATCTCCTGTTTCCATTTTGGCTGTTTCGTTGCTTATTTTGCAGAATATTTAAGATTTATAAAAGGATAAGTTGGGTAATTATATTAGTATTGGTCTTCTTATTTTCCTAGGGTTTATTTTCCCTCACTTTTGCGCAAGAAAATCTGGATATGAGTTTTACTGTTTCATATTCCTAAGCTGCAATCACTTTCTCCCTCAGCGTCTGGTGATATTGTAACCGAAGATCTTGCTGCATTTTCACATCTTGTAGTCCATCAATGAATGCCTACATGTTAATTTATTCATGAAAACCTTAGTACGCCTGTGGATAGGCTAGATGAATCAATATTTTTATATCGGCCTCGAATTTCTGTAAACTCTTATTATGTTTCTAATTATGAACCTTTAACTGGCTTTAGAATACCCGTTTCAAATGCTGCTGGCCATACCTTGGACAAGGATTGGACGAGAGACGAATAACTTGGTTCGCTTTGAGAAAGTAACTGTAAAACAGTTGCTGCCTGTCCTCGCAGCGACACTATCAATGAAGCCGCCATCTCTTTTTCAGCCCGGCTATTGGCACTAGCTGCAGCTTCAAACTGAAGTCGATACGTTCTCCATGTTATCTTATCATCAAACGTGAGTGGATTAAATGATCTTGCTAGTATGGCTTTTTGAAACTGGGTTTTGAATATGGCTTGGCTCGGTTATAGATTAGGACGAGGTAGTGTTTTCAGTTTCTCTATTGCTTGCCAAAGATTGGGTACGAATTCTTTTTATTAATTCAACTAATTTATTTTTAATGTGCCTTCCTAACTCTAGCCTTTGCCTGTTGTTTTAAATTATCCCGTTGTTGTTTTTCTAAATTAGTTTTTAAATGCTCTTGTTGTGCCTAAAGATTTACTCTAATGTTAAGCTGATCATTCTCTTGCTTAAAGGTTTTCTGGATTTGTAGCATACCATTCATAATTTGAACCACTTCTTTTCTACGCCGCTCCCTCTTCTCCTCTTCTTCGTCCTTTTAGTGTTTTTCCATTTTCTCTTCTTCCGTTTTTCTGCGCCTTTCTTTCTCCTCTTTTCGCCTTTCCTTTTCCTCTTCTGGCCTTTTTTCTACTCTTCCATCTTCAAAAGCCATGCTGGTGGGCCTGAAGTATCCATATGTGTTTAGGGCACAGTGGATCTAGTACTTACCATGAATAGAATGCTTAGATAACTTTTATTTTATGTTCCACCACTGTCACCAATGTTACGCAATTTTTTGGAAACTCAATTTATTTCAACTCAACTCTACAATTCAACTATATAACTGATACCATGAATGCATAACGTTAATCATAAAACTCTTCCCCTGGCATCAGAATCATAGACTTATATAGCTTGATTGACCCTTCTAGAGCCTCATCGAAACCTCCAGATGTTTCTTGACACAGGATGACATCTCTAGACAGTTCTAGACTTTTATATCTTCTTCTTTTACTTATGCTGACCGCAGCACACTGTAGGGAACAGGGTAACAATATATTATGGTTATAAATGTATGCTTGCGCTATACATTGACGGGAATAATTCTTACAATGCTTATTGCGTAATATACTATTACCAAACTCGAACGATGCGATATTCTGTACTAAAAATGATAGAAAAAGCATTTGCTTTTTTTAGAAGTCCTGATTTCACTAGGTATAACCGGCAACACTCATAAACAATTACTAATCGGTTCGAATCCAATAGCCTACTCGAGTCAACAACTATACCGACTGAACCGTAGTGGACTCTCTTGGACTGCTTGTACTCCTGTATTATTGGACAATAAATGGCCAGCTGCAGATAACACTTTAACGGGCATGAGAATAATGTATTTTGTGAATAATCAAGAGCGCTTCAAATCGACCGAATGGAAAGCGTAATTCAATTATTATTGCCTGTCTAAATTCTGGACCAGCCGCAAAGTGATTGTTCTAATCGAGTGCTTGATATTTAAATATACATTTGAATAATTAATATCCATAAGATACCTACAAAGTTTTGTTGTAAACTTTTTATTGATTTGTTCAGACGATATAGGCCAGAGAGGCGCAATTATGCATTATTCTCATATTTTTATGTAAAATTATAGATTAGAGGTTGACTTTCATAGTTTATCGATCTAGAATATACTCAAAACACGTAATACAATAAAAGCAAGAAGAAATAGTAAAAATAAAAGGACATGAAAAGAAAATTTTTCAGGAACATAATGAAAACGAATTTATCCTTTTTGTGGAGCACAATGGACATCGGAAACGGTGTAATAAAGCAGTATATATTTTCCAAAAAATGTCCAAATTAAAAAAATAAATCGTTCTACAAGAGAAAGAAACTTGAATATTGGTATATAGGATTATGTAGCAGGATAATAGGAAAAAGTAAATATTCCAGCAATTGTAAATGAACATTTTTAAGAAAATAAATATTGAACTAAATAGCGACTATATTACATGAAAGAATGTATTTGAGTTTTAATGCTGATAAAAGTATTTTAAAAAAAACTGACTTTAAATCGTGCCGATGCCCTCAAAAATTGACATTTTTTATTTTCTCGTAGATCATCAGATCCTGACCAATTACATAACGAATTATCGCTGAACATAAACCTTCTTCTCTGTTGAAGTGTTACCCCTCCCGTTCTTATTTAAGAATGTACTGATAAATTGTGTTTCGATAAGTTAATTTTAAATTTTAAGTGTTCTCATCTTAAAAAGTCTACAAACGAAATTTTCAAACTACAAGCGCGGCAGCTTTTTGTCTGGTGAGCAACTGTTCGTTGGTTGGGGTTAGATTTCTAAAATAGCTCCGGGCGCCACTTAATTTAAACTAGATAAAACTAAGAAAAAATTATCAAAAGAACGCTATCTTATTAAGATGTATGGTTCTCTATAACACGCTTTATCTCTAAAATAAAAAACAAATACTAAAGTATAATTAGTAGAAAATGATTATATTACTTTACTGGTTGAGATCTTTTCTTAAAAAAAAAAAATAATCAAAGTATCACTAGTGAATATACCTTATTTGAATATTTCTGAATTTAAAAAATAATTTTTAGATTAAGGTTCTATATTACAAATTTTATTCTAAATATGTGTACAAAAAATATATTCCAAGATAAATTTTATATCAATTCTCTGAAGAATATGACTCTTTAGTAACGTACCTACTGTTCATGAGTTATTTCAGAGAAATAAGTGATTATAATGTAACTAGATTACAACTAGTGTAAATCAGAGTCAACTTTGGAAAAACTATTCAAAAGAATATATAAGGAAATCTCACAATATTTCACATTAAAAATTTTTCGTAAAAACGATAAAATAAATGTACGCCATATGAAATTGTTATCTGAAATTATTAGTATTAATCTTACGGGAAAAATGAGGCGGTTCACGGATGAACCTCTTCGGGTAGAATCTTCGGGTAGGTAGGTATAGGTAAAGTGACAACCACCAGCTTGGCTCTTATCCGTTATATGTATTCAAACAACACTTGGGCCGGAGATAGATCTTCCTGGCCCTGGTATCACTATGGCAAGAAAGGTGATATCACATCCCATTCCACCACTACAACTTGAGGTGCTGTGGTAACATGCCTTCCATAATTCAAATTTGTTTTCTGGACTCGTACAATGACGAAATTAATCATCTCCAAAAATAAGATTAAAAAAATTAACTAAGAATATGGCTCCTACAAGCCACGACTTCAAAATTCCAGAGTAAGGATATATACCTTCCACTGGAGTATCATAATGTAATATCTCTATACGAGAAGTTAAACGTATCTAACTGGCAGTTATGTCCTATAAAAAAGAATACCCCAATAAAATTCTTTCTTAAAACCCCACAAATTTAATTTAGGGGAGAATGAGGTATAATAATCCCCTTAAGGATAATTTCGTTATATTTTTGCAAGTACAAGGATTTAAATGTATTTATCTTTTCTAGAGGATTTGGTGTCCATTTGACAATTTATTATTTAAAAAGATGTTGTTTTTCTTCACATTTTGGAATGACAATGATGTTTGTTAATATCTGAAAAGGGATAATTTTACCCAAATGCTAGAGGTAAAACGATCCCCAACATGGAGTAAAATGATCCTATTTTCAAAACATTATTTTATTACTACACTTTCGATAAATATTATAACAATAAATGCCAAATATTAGTTTATTTATAAAAAAAGCATAAAACATAACATACAAGGCAATAAAACATTTTTAATACTCTTAAGGGAGTAAACAGAAGCTTGCTCAACATTATTTAACAAAATTAACTCAAGCAACTTTTAATACCTTAACCAATTTAAAACTAGATATTTTTCTTAACTCGATAGGTTTGAGTTTGATGCAAACAGAAATCACACTCAAAATCGCAATCTTTCTCATCGACCCGGCACACTTATCATGAGCCCAGTTTAGGCATTTAATGCACCTGATCCATCCTTCGCCAGTTAAAGAAGCAGCGTATTTTTCGCAGCAAAAGATGCCCTCTTCTGATTCTGATCCGCTGTTACTGCTTAAGTCATCACTTTCCTCTACTACTTTTTTGTCTTCTTGTTTAATTTAACTTTTTTCGTGCTTTCTGATTTTGACTTGTTTTTCTTTTTTTTTTTTTTCTTAGCCTCTAGTTCATTTTTTTCCTATTCTCCTCTTCAAGCATGATTTTGCATGGGGTACTCGTGAGTAAAACTGTACCAACAGACTTTCGTTTTTGAGCTGCTCTCTTTCCCTTAATTTTTGGAAGAGGATTGCAATCAGCAGGGGTTACGGTGAAGGAACTTTTTACTTGGACTTCACATTGGTCTGATACCTGATTTGTAATTGCTGGAGGGATATCCGATCGTGTACTTGGCCCAGGAATTGGAAAACTACGTAGAAGTGGATTGGTTGCAGAGGTTTCTTCATTATTCTCTAAGTTTTCTTGAATATTGGGAGCAGCTTCGTGGGTCTCTTCCGTAACTTCTTCTGCTGCGAAATCAGCGTCAGAAAACGTGTCAGGATAAAAGGGTATAATTCCAGTTTTTTTAAAAGCATTTATTGCATTATTCAGTACACATGCTTTCAGGTATGCTTCTGAAGATATTCTGCTTATCTGGAACGTTTTTACTGTTCGACCTGGATTATTGGTCATTTATTTTTCCAATGACTGGTCCATGTACGTGCTTAATAGATACATTACCCCTACATCCAACGGTTGCAACTTATGTGTTATTTGGGGAGGCAATCATAATATTACAACGTTATTTTCTTTTGCCTTAGTCACGACGTTCAGATTTTTAGTGTGGGTCAAATGTTCATCTAAAATTAGCAAGACGGGATTCTCTTTAGTTTGCTTCGTAAATTCAGAAAGTGAACAACCATTGGCCAAACATTTCTAATTTCATCCAGCCGGAATCATTGCAACCGAAAATAGTTCCATGTGGAGCGCTATCCATCAGTTCCGCTTTCGTTCTTTTCCTACTAAAAATTAGCATAAAAGGAATAAAAGCCCCACCAGCAGAAGCGCGAATTACAGCAGTTGTTAAAAAACTTCCCTTTCGGCTGATGTTACACGAGCAAATTGCTTTCGGCTTCTTTTGCAAAAGTTTTTGAGTTTCTATCAGGAACTGTTGACACAGAGGTCTCGTCTACATTAAAACCTTTGTAAGCAGGAAACTTGTGCTGCTGCAAAACACTTTTAAGAAGATCATAAAACTTTGAAACAACAATTTTATTAAATCCCCTTGCACGGGCTGCTGAAGTTTGCTTCTAGAACTCTTAACGTTATTTCTGGCTGCTTTTTTCCGAATCCGGAAAGCCAGTCATATCCATCCATCTGTTTTTTACGGGAAAAATTATGGGGAATTTAATTTTTTTCAGCCAACTGAAATGCCAAGCGCCGAAGATCAATTGTTGTAAGCCCATACATTCTGGATTCAAAGTCTAGAATATGACGTATAAGTTAATTTTCCTGATCTGCAGTAAATGTCGAAGTTTTGCTGCCTAAACGTTTTATATTTTCTTTGGCATTTGTGTTTTTATTTTTAACTCTGCGTTTAAGGGACATAAAAGGCACTTGAAATGTTTGTGCAGCAGTTTTATATAAAAAAGGCCTAAATTATAAATGAATGGAATATTCTAGTAGTTTTTCTTCGTTTTTAATTAAAAGCAACCGTAACTAAGGATGAGAAAGCTTCTTTCTACTTTGTCGCAAATGTCCAGTATCTGACCCAACAATGTTGTGAAATCATAAACTCAAAAATATGATCATAGACATATCTATTAATATTAATATTCCCATACAAACTTTTACCCTCCGTTTCCCACCCTTAAGATATAAATATCTGAAAAACCTGAGAACCTTTAAAAAAAAAACGATATTTTCTTACAAATTTTTACTCTCCGTTTCCCCCCTTAAAATGTGATGTGTATAAAATCCGTTTTTAGTCTGTGTCTACGTTGAAAAAGGAGTAACTATCCTATATTTCAAATTAATCGGGCTTATAGTTTTGAAAATCAGTCAGTGGTATTTCTCTTAATAGTTATTATTTCAATAATTAATTATTTTTCTGCTCATAGACATATCTGTTAATAGTCTATTTGAATAATGCAGCCTTTTAAAGTAAAATTCGCTCAAAATAAGATACAAAGTTGGCAAAAAATGTCCTAAAATGATCAAGACATATGCATTAAATTATGTTGAGAAAAGCAATTTGTTTAAAATATATTTCCGTCGACCGATGATTTATAATGTAATTTAACACACTCAAAATCGTTGATTAATGACCCCTATTAATTAACCCCTATTAGTCAACGATTTTATTATATGCAACCCAACGTACATTGCTCTTATTATACATCTATATTGACAGTTACCTATGGTGTAGGTAACCAAATATACATATACATTTAAAACCAAGAAGGTGTGTTAATACTATCTGTCATTGTATGTCATTAATAAATTTCTTAAAATTCAAAAACTCTATGTATAGTTTAAAATCAAAAGATGGATATTTTCAAAGAGTTTAATTTAACTCCACCAGAAGTAGCAGAAACTGCGAATGCAATATCGTTAAGTTTATTGCCTGATAAAAGCAAACTGTTATAAATAAAATATCTTTATTTTTGAAAAGTACGATCGACGGAAAAGTTCTGTAACGAACTCGTGAATTAAAATGACGATTAATACACTTGTTTGTTAAATAACCATTTTATCTTAAAGCCATTAAATATGATGAACATTTACCAAGTACAAATAATTGTATAACTCACTCGAATATTTAATATAATTTATGATTTCAAATAAATGTCCTTGGACAATCAGCAGAAGTAGATAGATTTTCAATTGGAATGGCTCCAAGTTTAATGAGACGTTGATTTTTTGGTTAATAACTTTGTAACTATTGTTTAAAATTATACCATATTCGTCATCTTTAATATGTTTGGAGCACACTCTTGCATTATCTACACTAATTCTTTATGACCACAGTACTTTTTTAATTATATTGCACACAACATTTTTATTCGCATTGATCGCTCCAAAACTCGTTAATAACCAAATTAGCATTATAATCTTATAATCTAAAATCTTAAATACACGTACAGCTGCTGCCATACAACTTACTAATGTGTACTAACCACATGACGTATTAGCAAAGCTATGATGGCGCCCGGAATGCGCAATATCATATTTCTAACAGTTATAGCATCACAGTTATCTTTGGTAGATTAATAGCCTCGAAGAGCTTATAAATGAAGTTAAATAAAAACTTACGCAATCATGAAAGCAGCCCTTCTGGTGGTCCTTTTAGCCCTGTAGGAAAACGGCCTCGTCACTGAAAAATACCGATCGAAGCTGATGATGAGCAAGTTCAAAACGCTTGCGTTACTGGCCAGGTAGTCCAAGGCCAGCCACGTATCGCAAATGATCGGTCCTAGAGGCCAGTAACCCAGCAACGTGTAGATGGTGAACAGCGGCATAGAAATCAGACCTTACAAAAAAACAACACAATTACCTATGTACGATTTGTTTAAATCAAGAGTGATTACAAGAAATGTCAAAATTAGAAAAAATCGTTATGTATGTCACCAGTTGCGAAAAGTAAAGAAATCTTTTTTGGTTTAAAAATCAATAAAGTACATTATTATTGAAAGTTTATATCAAAGAAGGGCATATTGACTTATCAAAATAAAATTTAGTTATATTTACAATCCACTAACAATGTTGTTCTGGTCCTTATTTCACATTCTAAATCGACACAAAATAAAACACAGTATACGACAAAATAACTTACTTTTTTGAAATTTAAATAACTTTAATAAACAATATAAACAGACTACAACAAGTCGTTGAGAATAAATTATTAATATTTTCTATTTGTCGATAAAAGAGTGAAGTTAGTCATTTAAGTAACCATACAAGAAACTGGTAAAATTGTTTGCTTAGATGTAGGTAATTTTTTACCAAATAATATTTTATAAAATCCGGTCAAAATTAGAAAAAATATTGTATGTAACACGTTGCGAAATATCGTTATATGTAACTAGTTCATGTTGCGGGACTTAGCTTTGCTCGTCCGGCAAATTATTCACTCGTTACATATAATAAGGCATTTCGCAATTAATTTCATAAATAGCTATTATTACAAATTCCAGAAGTAAAGCGATTAAAATTATAAGTATTTATCACTAGTAGAGGGATATTTGGTTTGAAAATTTTTGCTAGTATTTGAATTTTTTAGTGGTCGTCAACTACACAGTTTAATTAATTTATTGGAATCCAAATGAGACTATTCAAACTTAGCACCCTCTTGGTCTTTACTAAGGTTACAAATTGAAAAATCTTGTTTAAAAAATGTTGCTTCAAGTAGAATATTCAAAATCAAATTTAACTTTTAATATTTAATTTGTTATAGGTTTTTGATTTCAAAGTGTAATTCTTCATACCCTATAAACCTTAATGTACAAGTGACTTTAACCATCTTATACCGGAATTGTAGACATAGAAGGCAGTTCCAGATACAGTTTGAGTTGACCACAATCATTTTCTCTTATTTTAATTCAACAGGTAGCAAATATTTTCATTTATAAGTTATCCCATTAGTTACTTTAAACAAAACTTAAAAAAAAAATTGTGTTACCTATTGCGAAATCAGCCACAGCCAAGGAAAACAAGAAGTAATTGCTGATAGTTTGTAGCTGTTTGTCTATTTTGAACGAGATCATTACCATTATGTTTCCGATTACAGTGATTATGGCTAGTAGTGCCGCTGAAACAAACAAACAATATTGAAATAGATATTATTGTTACGTGCGGTAAGTGGTACTTTTCACATGTGTAAGAAATATGGTTGCGCAAGGCGTAAACCGAGTGCGACAATCAACATTTTCGTACAAGTGATATATTAGTCGTCGCAACTCCAATGTGAACCTTCTTTGCAAATCATTGAATGTTTTAGTGAAATTCATTCCCTTTAAGTCTGGCTTTAACCAGTGTTATTACAAAGGGAAAGGAGAATATTGAGAACAAAAATAAAATTACTTTTATTTGTGTTGTTTTGTCAAATATATCTTCTTTACATTAAATGTACAATGTAAAAAATAAAAAATACAAAATTAGAAAAACAGTTAATTTATTAGAAAATTTACATCCAGGAATAAAAAACTACAAAAAGCATTTATTTATTATAATAGAAAATCAAAGGCAATAGCAAAATTAAATTAGATTAAGACGAGAGTTGAAAAATGACCAAACCACGTTCAATTACTGTTTATTAAAGTATTTTACTTAAAAGTACTTTCCCTAAATGCTACCGGTTTCCGCTAGCGAAAGCCAGGTCAAACCGTTGAGTGGATATAAATGATTGATGCCAAGTTGAATTAAACTTCCGATATTATGTCTACATTTTTTTGCATAAATAGAAATAGGTTTGACTGACAGGAAATTTTAAAAATAATGCAAATATTATTTCAAAAATAAGGCTAAATAGTTCCAAAAACGAACACCTACAATTTTAAAAACACTAATAAACAATAAAGGGATTGATTAGAGAATTGTGAAGACTGACTTTGTTACGATATGTTTGGTTTCGTATGTTATTTTTAAATTATACGATCTACAAAAGTTCGATAAATTACCAATACAAGCAAACCACCCGAATTGGAGAGTATTGTATAGTATATTTCTATGAATCACTAAAGAAAATTTACATTTTAAAAAGTAATTTAGAGGTTAATAATATAAAATTACCATTTTAAAAATAACGCAAAAATTTGAATTTCCGGATTGTACCCATTTATAAAATTACCTTGAAAAAATAAACGAATTCGCTTAGATTCAACCCGAATTTGAACAGCAAGGACCTTTCGTATGAAATATTATCTCTTAAAATTTCGCGATAACTTATCATTTATTTCTCTTTAACATTTAAACTAAAATAAATGGTTTAGGTCATTTTCTTATAATTTTACCAACATTTTCGGTTTCTTTAACTATTAACGATTAACATCTAATGGACTGTTATTATTTATCGATTTATTATAAGGATCACTATTTTTAAATATATCTTATGCTAATAAACAAAAAATAAGAATTAGTTTGATAAAATTATCACTAATTTGTTATTTGTGTGACAAGAACGTATATGAAGACAAAGTTTGAGCAGGACGCTGTAGAAACTCAATTATGTAGCATATTTTTTCTATGACCCACAAATGAAAACCTACAAAATTTTAAAATTAATTTAGCGGGTAAGATAAATAAAATAAATATTTTAAAAATATTTTAATTATTCCTTATCCTGGATTTGAAACCCGGACCATTCTCATAAAAACTTTTTTTTTAATACTGATAATTAGAATGATTTTAGTGTTAATGAAATTTGGGATTTATTTGTAAATATAGACGAATATCTTGTGGAACGCAATTATTCTTTTATCGATTCTTCACAAAAACACATATTTTGAATTATATTTATTCCTAATAACTAAAAAATATAGTGACAATTAGTTTGGTAGAATTTCCACTTATTTAAAATTAAAAAAAATAATAGTATCCCGATCCCCAAATATAAACTGTGATTGGTGTAGTTCATATCCGTACAGAATTCTTCCTGAATTAATATGAAACTGTATTCATTTAGTAGAATGTAATGACCTACTCTTTGGTTCTGTAGTGTATATGTATAATATCCGTGTGGGTGTAGAATATTAAGTTAGCGGGCTACTAAACAGGTGGTGGTTTAATAATAATTATAATACTCTCCCTAATTCACCCCCTTACGACTAAATTTTAACCCCAAAAGCCAAAAGATGGAAGACTGTCGCAACTCCCTTAGATATAACAGCCCTGCTCACTAGCAGCTATTATTTGACAGGTCGTAAGTAAATTCTTCTTTTAACGCCATTTGTGCAGTGTGTTATTTATTCACGAAACTGTGACGTCAGTAATATTTTTTAAATGGAACAAATTATATAATATATTAAAAAAAGTTAGTCCCTTTAAATGCAAATCCTAATTAATAATAATCCTAATTTTTCTCGAACAGTTTTTAAGAAAATTATACAAAATGACTTTACAGTTCCATTTATGTCATTTAAGCCATTTATGCAGTGTGTTATCTATTTCACGAAACTATGACGTCATTAATATTTTTTTAAATGGAACAAATTATATTTTATATTATAAAATGTTAGTCCCTTTAAATACAAATCCTAATTATAATTAATAATAATTCTAATTTTTATCAAATTATACCAGATGACTTTACAGCACCATGAAATAAAACAAGAAAATCTAAAATACTATGTAGTCACAAATACATACAGAGTGCACAGTGATTTGTCAATGTTGCCATTATAATTACAGGTACTCTTGAATAATTACAGATGTCATCTTCCGTTTGGCTTTAAATGATCAAAACTATATTCCGAATAAAATGTTTGAAATCCGTGATGAAAACAAGTCGACTGGCTTGTTCTACTATAAACTAATGAGTGAACTAAAATCATCGATAAAGAAGGTAAACAATGGTTTTACCGCGTGTATTATTTGAAATTTCGTCTAGTATTTTAATTCTCAATTTTCTTCGTTATTATATGGATTTGAGGATTGGTTTCAACGTAATTGTAATTGGTTTTTGATACACTATTTGTTTGTCTCCGTAAAAAAGTAGTATTTCATTTTTTTGTAATTGATGTCTACCAAATGTAAGGTCTTTATCTTTTATAGTTTTAAAATTCATTTGGAACTAAAATTAAATGTTATTAAACTCCCACCTTATCATTTGAATATATAAAACCACAAAACCATTTATTACAAGAGAAAATCAAAGGCTATAGCAAAATTGGTCTTTAAGTAAAATGAATGCTGAATTACATGTCAATAAAAGTTGCTTATTTTACGTTAAGAAAAGCTGGCAAGTACAACAAAAATCTTTTCAGGTGTAGAAAAGGGTTTTAATGAAAATGAAGACAATGCTCTATTCGAAATTTAACAGATATTGCAGGAAGAGGGTTATTATTATTTTATTATAGATCCATTGGATTCCACATTCCACAACTCTTTTCAATCTCCTTAGTATGGACAAAATTAAATGTCGCATATCGTAGGAATCTACAAGCTCTTCCCAAGCATTTTCAATACCTTCCCATAGTTAATCGCGGTTGGTTTGCCCAAAGTCACTTTAATATAATTATTGACTATGAATCCCCGGTGGGGTTTAAGTCAGGACTTTTTGCAGACAATCGCAAAATTTTAATTTTTTTAATTATTTAATCGTGCTTAAATGTAGCTATCTTTATAAAATACATAAAATATTCACAATGTGTGCTACATAAATTTATTATTAAAAAAATTAGAAATTTACCATAAAAGAGTTACAGTGAATAAAAACTTTAGAAATATTTAGTAAGTTACGAACCTTAGTAAAGGAACAATCAAAAGACAAGTACAAAGTTATGCCCACAACGTCATCAATTAATACG